AATGTTTGATTTTTATTCATATAACGTGAAATATCTGACGTCAAATTAATTAAGTGACATATCACTAATTATTCTAGTTTCCCCACGTGAAATATCAAAATAGCTGAGTACATAATAAATTGCTGACAATATATTTATCACGGCCATAAAGGTATTATTGTATCCCGTATTGTCTATATTCCCTAGTAAACTACACGGACTGTCACATCGTTACAATCGAATTTGTCAAGTTGCGAATTTGTATCAATAATTGAGTTGATAGAACGCGACAGGCTTTCAATACTGTTTGTTCAGTTTACATTAATATGGCATGTCATTTTTCATTGAAATGACTGTAAACACTTTCACGTCATGTTGTAAAAACTTGCTAATCGAAATATAATACCGGCGTTTTGTTTTACACACATAACACAATAAAAACAAAATCATTGATTCTGTATTCACTGAAAAAATAATGAAAATGAAACGATGTTTAACTTCCTACTGTTCTGCTCCGACTGGGCTAATGAAGACGGACATACGCCATACAGTGTGGTATAAGGGGAACTTTTCCCGGGCAGCGGCAGTGTGGGATCTTGAACGTGCACGCCAATGACTACACTGGACCCCACTGACAAGGGGAAACCACGCCGAAAAATCCACATGAACTTTCGAGGTCAATGCAGGGATCGAAAATGAGTTGTTTTTGGTCAAAAATGAGTTGTTTTTGTTTAATGAAATTGTTTTGTTTAAAGAAGGTGTTTCAATTTAATAAAATTGTTTCAATTTAATAAAATTGTTTCAATTTAATAAAATTATTTTTGTTCAAATTTGATGAAATTGTTTAAATTTGATGAAATTGTTTTTGTTCAATGAAATTAATTTTGTTCAATGAAATTAATTTTGTTCAATGAAATTGTTTTTGATCAATGAAATTAAAAGAAAAAGGTTTTTGTTCAAAGAAGCTGTGCAAATGTTTTTCTTCAATAAAACTGTTATTCCTCAACAAAATCGTAATTCTTCAGTGAAATTCTTTTATTTTATGTTTTTCTTAAAATTATATTAGTAAATCGTTTTGTTTTTTATGGCCTTCCTCGAGTATTCGACTAATTTAATATTCTGCCATCGCTGACGTCCTTTAGTGGTGTATGTGTAAACAGAAAAATCAACTTAACATTTAGAATTCAACTTATTAACCCAACTTGTACTTATACTGTCCATTCAATAACTTTAAATTCAACTTAATATTTTGAAATTCACCGTAATAACTTAAAATCCAACTTAGTGACATAAAATACAACATAAGGTCTGCCATTGAGTGGAGTGGTTTAGATTCCCCGCTTGTACGTGACAATGCCAAAGACACGTACGCATAAGCGAATTGTTGAAATAGAACTGAACCATATGTTAGTCCCGAAACGACCTAGTTTATGTTGATTGCTCTCTCTCTCTCTCTCTCTCTCTCTCTCTCTCTCTCTCATAGTGTAATTCAATATTCAATTTCGTATGACTAATGAGGCTGTCATAATACGTTTGTAATAAAATAATATGTTATATAAAATATTATTTAGACATTTATTAACTCATAACCAACACTCTAGAACATCGAATATTAAATGGAGAACGCCGTGAAAATCCACGAGGTTTGACAGGCGACCCTACTCCTTGGGATCGATACAGCACCAAATGACTCAATCATAGACCTTATGATCTAAAGCGCACACGATAGACCAGGTACAATTATAAACACTCATATTGCACGTGTACATTGATTATCTATTTCTAAAATGTAAATACATGTATCTATATCTGACAGGGAGAGGAAAAAAAAGATAGACCATTTGAACCCCACCCCACCAGGCAATATCTTCTAAATTCTTGAACGTCTTTCGATATTTGCATAACATCATGCGCAACCAATAACCTTTTTACAATTTGCATAATGTCATGCGCAACCAATAGGCTTCTTACAATTTGCATAATGCCATGCGCAATCACTAGCCTGTATTTAGTATGTAACCTTGCTGTGATATTTTTATATGTAAAAATCACACTTTTTCAGCTATTTAAGTCAACATTTTTATACTTTTTAAAATGAGATTATTTTTTGTTGTCGTCTTGATCTGGGATAGGACGGAAGAAGAGATCTTTTTATATATCAATTTACAAATTATTTTTAAGAGCGATTTAAAGCGTTTGTTATAAATCCGGGATCCGCGAACGCATGGGTGATTTAGACTATTACACAAGTAATAATAACTGATATAGGACTTGAAATTCTGATACCAGTCGATAATTCTAGTGTAGAGTTTCATGATATAAATAAAATGTGATTTAATATTATACTATTCTGCTTCATTACGTAAAATGATAAGGATGTGGATATCAGTTAGCTACCCCAATAACTCGCATGCGGATAGAGTCCCCTGTAGTGCACGAAAACTAGAGAACCTTCGGAAAACCGGACAAGAAAAGGCAGACGACAAACGTGGAATAGAACGTACCCACGTAAGACTACTGCGACACCCACCACCGCGTGAAAACCACGGGTGCTTAACGTCCTACTGGGCTAATAACAATGGACATACGCCATACAGTGTGCTATGAGGAAGAGTTTTTCCCGGACATATCAAATTCCCACTGCTAAGGGTTCTTAACGTGCAAACCACTTTGTACACGGGTCCTCGGTTTATCGTGCCAGCCGAACGACCATACGTTTTCCCTCGCCGGGACCACTGTCCCGCACGACTAACGGGGAGGGGGGGGGGACCATGTCGGAAAATCCTAATGAACTTTCTCGACGAACAGGTTAGCGAGCCAACGCCTTACTCACTGAGCCGCAGCGGCTCCTTCAAAAATCAAGAAGGTTAAGCCATATTACATTTCTTCTCTTCTTGGTTTTTCTTTCAATGAATACAGAAACACGGTGGCTAATGGCTAAGTGGGTAAGACGCTGGCGCGCTAGCCTGGAGGTCACGTGTTCAATACCTACATTGTCCGAGAAAGTTTATTGGGATTTTCCAAAGCGGTTTCCCCTTGTCAGTGATGCATGTAAAAGACTCCTTGGTAGTTCGAATTCGGTTTAAGAGTAGGCCGTAGCGCCGCTGTCAGGGCAAAATTTCCCTCAAAGCGTATGCCCGCATTCATTAGCCCAGTCGGAGCAGAACGGTAGGACGTTAACCCCCATTTTATTTCATTTTCATTCAGTGAATACAGATCCAATGATCTGAAGGGAAGCCGATTTCAATAACCATAGCACATACATAGCACAGACATAAACATGGATATATAAGACATATTTTCAATAAAAATAGCTTAAATAATTTGTGTTGTTCATATTTTGTTAGCATTAATGTGAGTATAATCAAAATTTATGCTTGGTCACCGTTTTCAAGTTTCAGATTTTTTCTGAGATATTTTGGTGATCTAGAGATTGCCGGACTTGTGGTTTCCGTCCCTAGCGTGAGCGTATGCAACTTGGAGATAGGGGCCAATTTTACTAACGTCTTACTAACTGAACCACCACGACTCCCTAAAAAGACAATCGGCCACCGACCAGTCGTAGTTTCAAGGACCCGGGGTATCCAACCCCTATTAGTGTCAGCAAGCAATATATTGGACATTTAACATGCGGTTATTAGTACTAGCTATATTTATAGAACGAATTGACTGAAAAACCAGGGTCCTTATTCACGAAAACTTAAACTAAGTTACAACCGAAATTTTAAGAAATACTGCAACTTCATTGGATATATGCAAATTGATTTTACTGGTCAGCCAATCGAATTGCAGTATTTCTTAAAATTTCGATTGTATCTTAGTTTAGGTTTTCGTGAATAAGGGCCCCGCCATTGGAACTACATTTAAATTCCCGGATTACCAACGGCGTTGCCCATGACGACGTCTTCGAGGAATGTTTTATCATACAAAGCTTTCAAAGTCTGAATCTGTTTTTCTTTCTACTTTATCCGATTTTCTTTAAAAAAGGACAACTTTACAATGAAAATTCTACACACTCTTCGAACGATGCAATTATGAGAACTTCTTTCTAAAAGCGGCAAGTTTTGCAAAAAGTAAACCGGTAGCCGCATCGCAATTGTATAGGTGTAGATACCGGCTTTAACCGAGGCTAGATGTAGAGTACCGGAATCTGCCGAGGCTAGATGTAGAGTACCGGAATCAGCCGAGGCTAGATGTAGAGTACCGGAATCAGCCGAGGCTAGATGTAGAGTACCGGAATCTGCCGAGGCTACATGTAGAGTACCGGGATCAGCCGAGGTATGCCGAGTGGGTTCACATCTGAACGGCCCGAGACACTACCCTCGTCCGTCCACGATCAGTGTGACATGTATAGCACTAATATTTGCTACTCCAACCGGTGCTACCCCTGACAAGTATTACAACCGCAGTTGCCAGTTTCACATGTACAAACCCTGAGTGACAAATCGACTGGGCTAATTAAGACTAGCAATTCACCGGATTTAATATAGAAATTTCACTGAATTATCGAGAATTCTGTATATTAATAATTATTGACAGTCAGTTATAGAAATTTCTTTTCTTTATAAAATAATCGATGAAGCAAATTACGAAAATTATTGAAAGATGCATTATGTAAGATTTAAATAAAGAGATAAGACAGTTCTCGCTATACTAATTTTAAAAAATAGATAATGATAAGGGAATGAGACGTGCAGGTCAATTACTTCATTCTGGGGCGAGTTATTGCCGTTTGATTGTTATTTCTACACTTCTTACGATAAAAAAACAAAGTCTCGATTATCCATTTCTTAGTTACATTATTAATTTTCAATCATGTTTAAATCCGTTGAAAATCAAAACCATCCGATGTTCTGGAGAGTTGATTATTGGCTTGGCATGTGGATGAATGTCTAAATAATGTTTTATATAACATTTGAGACCAAACGAAAGACCTTCAGATCTGGCTCTTACATAATGCATCTTTAAAATCTAAAATCAATCCATCTGATTTAAACAAAATAAACACTATAAAATTATACCTTTCTTGTGATCAGCCTTGGTGGTCCAGTATATTAATTGTAGTTCTGTTCTTGTGTTGGAATTCAGAGACGATATTTGCGTTGTGTATGTTACACTGAAGGCTGCTGTACAAGTAACGATGTTCGACACTGTCTAATAACTTTATGAAGCGCTCATCCGCCTCAACACAAAACACACCTTTCACACACCGCGTATCCGCTATACGCCTGCTGTCATATGTCATTGTTCCTATCTATTTCTAGTATTTGTTGACTAAACAAGCCCTGCAATAAAATGAGATTAGATTTATCGTCACTGTAAATTATTCATTTGGTAATGATTAACAAATTTACACAGGGGTATTAACTATGTAGCGATTTCGTTCTGGATGCACGGTGATCAAACTCCTCATTAACAGGTTGCAGTTTATCATTTTTAAATATGTTTGATTCTAGAATTTTAAAGAGAGGCGATATTTGATTTGGCACGCGACATTCGTGTCCATGATTGGAGAATTCTCGTACATGTAGTTGCGGTTTCTGATTTTTAATACCATTCACTTCAGGGTGCTAGCCTAGAGGTCGGGTGTTCGATCCTTGCATTGGCCGAGAAGTTCATCTGGATTTTCCGACGTGGTTGCAGAACGGAGGGCCTGACTAGGACAGCTGTCTAGTCCTTCGGGTGAGACAAAAACCGAGGTCCCGTGTATACATTGGAATGCACGTAAAAGATCCCTTGGCATTTGGAATTCGATATAAGAGTAGGCGACAGTGCCGCTGCACGGGCAAAATTTCCCTCATAGCACACTGTATGGCGTATGGCCGTCTTCATTAGCCCAGTATAGTAGCAGAACAGTAGGACGTTAAACTCCGTTTCAATTTCAATTTCACTTTAGGGGTTTGACGAGAGGCGCTCGGATCAGTGATTTTCACTACAAAGTTCACTCGAGTGTGTTAAAATCAGCCCGTGTTCATAATTCGAGACATTTGTGTTGATCCACGACGGGGATTTGGACGTTTTAAGACCCTGTATTCTAATAGTCATATATATTTAGAGATATGAGGTTGAACGTTCACTTAACATATGTCGGGACTAACATATGGTTCAAATTTATTTCAATAATTCATTGCGCTTAGGGGTCTTTAGCAATGAGTGGGTAACCGGACTTCTCGGACTATAGCAATGGGCAGGCGACTCTATGCCAGCTCCTTGTCATGTATAAGCATGGGACTAGTCCACTGGACTCAATGACCTAACTTATGATCTAAAACACGCGATAGAGCATTCGACACCCCCCCCCCGCCCCAAGAACTGACTACACCCCTGGGACTAACATTAACCCTGTTGAAACCCATTTTATACGTCATCACACGTGGGCGTTATGTACTAAAAATGGCGTTAATACCGTCTCCGATACCACTGATTTCAGGAATAATTGAATTAAATGATGTATTTTTTTATTTACCAGCCATTGAAGTGATGTCATAATGGTGGATGAGTGTTAAACTTGAAAAGGATAATATTGTTTTATAGGTAGTAACAGGATACGCTCTCTATTTTTTAAAAAATCTCAATGGAAATTATTTCTATAAAAGCGTTCCATTAACAGGTATTGTTTAAATAATATTTAAACCAACACCAAACACCTCGTTCCATCCTTGTAATTATTGGAACGCCAATAATATAAACCCTTAACGATTCCATTAGGTGTAGTACACTATATGGCGTATGCTTATCTTCATTATCCCGGTTGGGGCAGAACAGTAGGACGTTAAACCCCATTTCATATTATTTATTAAAGTACGAGTATAGTCCTAAGATTATTCAAATCGACCAATTCTAACTTAAGTCATGGACATTTAAAGTTTAAATTCGTTTATTCATTTTACCCGACCGCCATCTTTAGGTATCTCAGAGCGATAAAGAAATAATAATTCAGGTATCGTTTTCCGCCGATTAGTTATGCCTACATATTTTAAAACAACATTCTTGTTACAGCTCGTCTTGTTATTGTTGGTGTTCGTGGGAGCTAATTCATGCACGATAGACTTGAAACTTGGCATGCTTGTTCCTCGGACAACTGTGCATCATTTGGCGCATTTCGATGGTTGATAATACGTTATAATTCCAAGATGGACGAGATGACGTCATTGTCAATTCCTTGTCCATGCCGTCTTCATTAGACCAGTATGACGTGAACCCCGATTCATTTCATTTCCCTGGCCCATAATTATGTGATAAGATGGGAACTACGGTGGCTCAGTGAGTAGGACGTTAGCGGCCGAGAGAAAATTTATCGGGATTCTCGGACGTGGTTCACCATATCAATCGTGTAGGACGGGGCGGTTGACAAGGAACACTGTATAGTCGTTCGGATGGGACGAAAATCGAGTTTCCGTGTACACATTGGCGTGCACGTAAAATAACCCTTGACATTTGGAATTCGATATAAGAGTAGGCCATAGCGCCTCTCTCCGGGCAAAATGTCCCTCATAGCACACTATATGGCGTATGCCCGTCTTCATTAGCCCAGTCGGAGCAGAACAGTAGGACGTTAAAACCTATTTCATTTTCATTAGGTGTTGAGATACATGTGAATGACATTGTTGTTCTTCATAGTGTTTAACGTCCGCTTCCACCGAATGTGATATCGCAGACAAGTCTTATTTTTCATTTTTATTTTCTTAGCGCAGGCGCAGGGGTCGTTCCTGTGTGAGGAAACCGGAGTACACGGAGTAAACCCACGAGGTTGAGAAGGCGCCCCTATCTCCGCGGTGTGAATGACGTGGCTGGTATCAACTTTAAGTATGATATATTGTTTTACCAGTTGATTAAATAAGTTATGTAATATGAAACGAACATGTCAACTCTATTACAATACACATTAAATAATTTGTTCTCTGTACATGTTTACTGGTCACCAGGGAATACCAGATAACTTCAAACTCAAAATATGAACAAAAACACGTGTAAATTATTTTATTAGAGTATTTTATGGTGTTGATATTGAATCGATATGACATATCAAGTTTTTCCATAAACTAGGAAAATGTTGTTATAATTTTCGTAGCATGTTGTTTAAATAAATAAGTTTTCATCTTCATATACGATCATCTGTAAATAAGAATTAGCCTACAAATAAAGTCGGAACCAATGAAAACAAATGGCTTTCAGAAATGAAACTGACTCGTTGTTCGTTATTCTTGGGGAAGTTGGATGGCCGAATGGTTAGCCTGTGCGTGATGTCATAAGGTCTGTCATTGAGTCGACTGACGTGGTTTCGATTCACCGGTTGTACGTGACAAGGAATTGGGTCGCCTGTCCAACCTCGTGGGGTTCGGTCTCTCTCTCTTTCTCTCTCTCTCTCTCTCTCTCTCGTTATTCTTGACTAACGAGCAACGAACCACAAAGTTGGGAAAAATAGACTGCCGCGGAAATGCAGTCTTGCAGTATTTCGGACACCGATCGTCGAGATAAATGGAGGTGACCATCGTAAAAAGCGGTTCTCAACTGGTTCACTTTTATTGTTTATAGTAGGTTTACAGCAGGGTCGGTTCAGTAAGTAATCACACTGACTCCAACATGATGCTAGACTGACAGCGAATGTATTGTTCAGTAAGTAATCACTCTGACTCCAACATGATGCAAGACTGACAGGGAATACTGGATTTAATAACCGTAAAGTCATTGATTACCGAAACATCACATAATTTGGGGGCGCGCGGGGTCGGGTGAAACAGATTTGGCGTAGCACACCGGAATGTCACAGAAATAGAGACGTTAAACCAATTTCACTGAAATAGATGGTAGCTATCCAGCGTCTTACATACTTACCTTTTAACAGTGGAGACGATAAACATTTTACCAATCTGATTAAAACACAGATCTTAATTCGTTTCGTTTTTTATAGTTCAAAATTTCGTTTTACTTGTCTTTACTACACTAGGATCTAGAAGAGTTGTTATACTACCGGCGTTTTGGTTGAAGTGAGGGATTAGTCAATGAAACGGTCTGTTACGGTGTGTTCTTGGCGAACGATGTACGGAAATGTGGGTAAACCACTAGAAACGTCAACGCTGATTGAGTAATCAATGTCTGACGTCATAGGTCAAAAGCCGCTCGGGACGTCCAGTACAACCGGTCAAATCTTCATGTAGTGTAGGCAATCGAAAGTATAAAAAAACGAAACGAAATATAGATCTCTATTTTAATCCGATTGACATTTCACCAAACTATTGCACTCAGTGTGGCTCTGTAGCAGTGGAGACGATAAACATTTCATCAAACTATTCCACCCAGTGTGACTCTGTAGCAGTGGAGACGATAAAAATTTCACCAAACCATCCTAACAAGGCGATGAGTATAAAGCCCTAAATTCTAACTGGTAATATCATATCTCTTGCGCCTGGCTGAATGATGTCTGAGTACGAATTTAACTACACCGGATATTACTGGCATGTTCCGATTAATCTTTTAAATCAAGGCCAATAACTCTTCACCTTTTCAAATAGCTAAGTTCTTAGTAAATTTCAGGCCCGAAGAGGGACAGCTGCCCCCCCCCCCCCCCTGGAGCAAATCGGGCACCCAATGGGTGCCTTTACCTAATGGGGAAAGAATCGGTTACCCCAATGGGCGCTTCCGGCACCCTTTCCATTGTGTGCAATACGAAACCAACGACCATCGTGTCCCTCTGGCACCCCCCCCCCCCCTTCAGATGCTACGGGTAATTCAGAGCGTAAAGGGGATAACAAGCAGAAACCTATAGTTGCAGATGTGACTGAAAACAAAGGATAAGAAGCAGACATACTATTGAAGCTGCAGGCCCTCTCGTCCCAGGGGGTGGAGGTAACCGAAATGTTAGCACGTGCGCGCTGTATCATAAGGCCTGTCATTGAGTCAACTGGCGTGGTTTCGAATTCCCGGTTCTACGTGGCAAGGAGTGGGGTCGCCTGTCCAACCTCGTGGGTGTTCTCCGGGTCCTAGGGTTCCTCCCACTGCTAAAGACCCGTACGCGCAAGCGAATTATTGAAATAAAATTAAACCATATGTTAGTCCTGAAATGACCTAGTTTGTGTCGAGTGGACCTTAAACCGCAACTCTCTCTCCCCCTCTCTCTCTCTCTCTCCCCCCTCTCTCTCTCTCTCTCTCCCCCTCTCTCCCCCTCTCTCTCTCCCCCCCCTCTCTCTCTCTCTCTCTCTCTCGTCCCATAAGCGACTTGGGTCAAAT